TTCTTTGATATGTATGTATTTATATATTGTAGAACCTGCCCAAGTCTATGACAAAATAAATTTATAATGTTTTAGTGTTGCATTGTATGTAATTATGTCAAAACAAAAGTATTTTATCATTTTATAAAAAAACTAGTCAGGTTACCCTTTCTATACAGAAGGAACATCTATCCTTACAAACTAAATGACATACTAATTATTTTCCCCATCTTCAAACTTTGCACCACCCCTACTGCCACAAACTAAACCTAAATGATATACTAATTATTTTCCCCATCTTCAAACTTTGCACCACCCCTACTGCCACAAACTAAACCTAAATGATATACTAATTATTTTTCCCCATCTTCAAACTTTGCACCACCCCTACTGCAACAAATTAGATTTTTGTACTTCAGTTCTTTTATAGATTGAAAACTTACCTGCATTCACTCAGGCCCAGATCCTTTGTTGTAAAAATAGAAGAGAACATTTAAAAGCTCAGCAATCTCTAGTCTCAAACAGAAACCTTGCTACCATCATCCTTTAAGAGCCCAATCCACATTTTACTTATCTTTAACATTATCCAAGTATTCCTAATTAGCCCTTTTAGTTTTCATAATTTCTATATTAAACAAATCCACAGATTTTCTAGAGTTATGTAAATATTCAATCCTATTTATCAATCCAGTCTTCTTTAAATCCTTAATTCAGTTAGGTTTGATACTCCTGTTATCCCTTTCCTCCATTTAGGAACATGTTTTTCTTGAATTAAAAGCATTTTTTAAAAACATTTCCTAAATCTGTTCCATACCACCTAATACCTCATTATCACAATTCACTAGTGTTAAACCTTATCTCAAAATTAGGAGCTAAAATTTAATTCTCTTAATCTCAACCTGTACCATAACATTAAAACAAATTATGCAACAATACTCTCCCCAAATGTTCTTCCATTGAGACTCTTGTAACCACGTACTCATTGGTAGTTAACAATAAACCTAAGTTAGCTAAACTCATAATCGCTCGGTCTAGATGTGTCTTCCGAACTAAATTTCCAGTGCATATTTATACTCCAACAGAGGCCTAGAACATTCCACACACCACTAGATATTATGATGCAATAATACTCAATTAAAACAATGAGAAAAACTCAGAAGGTTCTAATAACATGATGCAATAATACAACAATCACCAATTCACAACTACTGAACTACACAACGTATGATTCGTAAACAGTTACATAAACAAACCTGCTATAAACTATCACTTCTAAAAATAACTAAATTTAACACTAGTGCTATATAATCTACATAAGCCATAACTCTTGCATTAAACTTAAATTGAAACAGTCATGTATATCTAACAGTTTCGAACTCCGTTATCATTATGCAAATTTAAACTATCTTTAATTGAATTTTTAAGAGCTTGCCCAAACAAACTGCCACCTAGAATGCTAAGTTGAGCCCACCTATAGTACATAATTCATCATTACCTTGAAAACTGTCTATGAGTCCAATCAGCTCACCTGTTGCTCTGAGCATATCACCTATTAAGCAATTCATTCCTATACATGGACTAAGGGAACACTTCCAAAAGGGACCACACATCTATTTCTACCATAAACTTCTAAAAGGGTTATTTAATTTGTAAGCATCTCTTCAGAATTTCAAACATAATTTCTTCCAATATGTACTACAATTTTCCTTGATATCAGCAACTACACTGTCCATGTGCTCTATAAAGTCTTGTACTTTAGAAACTAGCAAACAAATTGTAGACTTAAACATCATTGCTCCCCAATACAAATTGCACAGAGTCAGAAGATCAAATATCTTATTGACTGGCACCGAATCTGCCTATATAGCCCTGTGCAAAGCCATTCTGTGTTTACCCTAACTCTATCCATTTCATGTCTTGATTTCAGCTCCTAATCTGTTATTTTCTCCACTCTAATAGAGCAATCTTCATCACTGCTACCTCTAACTCATCTTCAAGCAATAAAGCTCTACAAGTTAAATGTACTGCATCTTTCCAAGCCTTATGAAAATCACAATCAAGCCCACAATTCTTAAATATAGCCTAATCCTGGTACATATCACTCTAACAAACCCCACACCATCTTATTCCTGAACTAGTTCTAACCATATTGAATCTTTGTTAGCATTAATTTTCTATTACAAATCTAGCCACCCAACAGGGTAAGTTTAAGTATATTACAGTATAAGTAAATTAAATTGTTAATAAACCAAACAATAAAATTCCTTTATTAATTAATAATGAAATTAAACAAAACTTCATGTAATACGTACCTAAGCTATCTTAATCATCTTTTAATCTAATGATATTGTATTAATCAAACAGAAGCTTATATACCACATCTGAATCACCTTTTAAAAACCAAAAGAACTTTTCTCACCTGGTCTGAATCATCTTCATCCCATCTAGCTGCATCATCTTCACCTAAAAGAATCTGTTTAAATTACAAGAAGAAAAATGTTCAGTTTTCTGCTTACACACCTTATAACACTTACAACAACTAAAATAATTAACTAATGTTTGCATGGTGTGCCGATAATATTGGATAATATATTTTCACTAATGAGTTCAAAATAGATTAAGGTATGGCACTGAAATATTAGTTAAATCTCTAAATAAAAATCATCATCGTTATACTAAACAAGAAAGCAGTAATACAAGTACTTTATTCATGAACGATCCAACCTGGGAACGTGTCTTACATACAAAGTTCTCTGCAAGTTTCACAATAAGGCATAAAACCGCAATGTTATACGAGAATCGTCGAAGAAAGAAATTTTCAAATTATACTGTAAGTCATAAACATATACAATATATTGAAATATGTATTCTTTCTACCATCAGATACACGGTATCAACACAAACTGATAAGACTACACCAACACAAAGTTAAACAGTGTATTAAAAGTACTTTTGAAATGAAACACAACTGTTTTGTGTAGTAGTTCAGGTGAGTGCAACAGTTTAGTGTGAAAGTTGATTACAGAAAATATTCATATAGTTGAGACACAAAATTCAGAAATTTTCATATACAAAACATATTTTTCTAATGCAACTGCATATTTAGAGAGATCTGGTTAAAGTGTTTAAGGTTGTTGATAAAATTGATAGTGTCAATACATCATTTTTTTTTCATACTTACGGGTGAGAAATTTTAATTACAATAAAAGTAGGCCTAGAGGACAAGTATAAATTTTTTGAGTGTAGTGGTCATCTTCAGCTAGAACAATTTAATTTTTCTAACAAGGTGATTGGCCTTTGGAATGGATTGCTTTAAGATATGGTGGATGCAATTAATTTAATGGATCTTAAAAGAAGGCTTGATAAATATATGAATGATAAGAACTGACCGAGTTTTTTTATTAGCTTTGCTTAGTAGATGAAAAAGGCCTAAATGGACCAACAGGTCCCTTGTTGACCTTTTATACTTTACATGTAGTGAACCAATGTTTAGCTAAACAGACTCAAATTTAAGTAGCCTAATGATAACATACTTTAAGCATAATACCTAAATTCACTTTTAAAATGTCATTAAAACTAGACAAGCAGTTAAAGTCCTACTTTCCCCAGTACAACATAGTTTGTATATACAAAAACGTCAAATGTTTTAAGATAAAATGTTTTTTTATCATTTTATAACCTTGTCTTTGGCAGCATGAAACTCATCAACCTCATTGTAATAATAGTCATCAGATTTGGGGTTTGGTGTTCTAAACTTGGAATACAGGTCCTCATCATCAGATCCCAAAACAGATTCTCTTGTCATTTCTTTCCTGGTATTTTTGTCCCTTAAAGAAAAAAAAATTACAATTGAATGTTTAAATACCAAAATTAGCATAATGCATAAAAAATTTCTTGATGATTCCTTTATGTAAAATTACAACCCAATCAAGAGAATGTTTAAGGAACATTTCAGTTAATAACTTTTAATATTATGGGAAACGTACAAACACAAAGAAAAACACCAACAATGTCAGGGCCATAGGATGTGGTAAGGCTATGGCCTGACCATTTTTTACAGCATGTATAGCTACAACTTATGTATTAAACCTTGCTTCTTTTAATTCAATACATTACATTGTGTGTATGTAGTAGTTGTAGTTAAAATGGCTCAAGATCCAATCTCATAACATTAACAGACCCCCCAGAAATGGCATGCTTTGCACACATCATGTGTCACAGTGTTTAGTTGTGGCAATGGCCTGACCACTCAATAAAAAGCTTCCCATGGCAATGAATGTACTGCAAGGAGGCTGTATCTACACA